AAAAAAAGATAACAATAAAATTCAATTGAATTACAAACCAGAGCAAGTTTCTTGTAATTGTGCCTGAGCTCAGCTGTTGTGCATTCTTTCTTCAAACCCAAAACACCATAAAAATCATTGCTTTTATTATCATCACCTGCCATTTTTTTTGCTTCTAAAGCCCACAATTTTTTTTTTTTTTTTCAGCTCAAAATTCAATCTTTGTGAACTAAATACATAAAGTTCCACAAAGGGGCAAAAGGGTTCTTATAGTTTTTCTTTTCCCTTCAAACCCTCATATTTATTATATTAGTATTAAAAATATAAGCATGCTTTTGTTATTCTTTTTTATTATTTACTTTTTAATCTCAATAAATGCCAAAAGATTACCTTATTAGCCTTTTAGAGACAGAGATAAACAACTGTCTTTAATAGGCCTTCAAAAATGGGAAACTTATATAGTGTGAGCCAGTATAACTTTATTAGATTTTAAATTAAAAAAAAAATATATATTTTGGTGAAAAAAGAAAAGCAAAACTTTGAATATGTGGCTTGGATTAAATTTAAATGTTATACAAAAAAAAAAAAAAAATGGATGGCTAGGATTAAACTTCAAGGTAGATATTTGTTGATGGATTCTGTCTCCAGAAACTTCCTTATTTACTGATGATTCTCAGGTTCTCTTTTGGTTTTCCCATTTTCCAGATTTTTGGACTTTTGTGAGTAATTGATGAGCTTATTTTTCTTTTTTATTTTATTTTTTTTTCATTTATTAATTATATGTATCAAATATTTTTATTATTAATTATTATATCAGCTAAGTTTTCAATTATCATTCAATCATCTATTAATTTCTAATTTTTAGCTTGAAACTAACTTATTAGCTACCTTTGAAGTTATTAAGAACATTTATGCATCATACAATGAATTTGGTCAAAATATAGTTAATTTACACAAGTGTTTACACAAATCTATATCTATATCTATATAAAAAGAATTACCATTTTTTTAAAAATGACAAGTCAAATTGTAGTCAAATATTATTGAACATTAATTGCATGCTATTAATAGCAAGTTTTTATTTTATTTTTTTATTTACAAACATGCATCATTAATTATTCATTTAAATATGGAGTTTGTTAAGTTGAATTTGTTATTTATTTTTGCACAAGACTAGGCTATTCCTTTTTCATTTCCACAAATTAAAAAATAAAAACTTTCTTTAACATATAATCGTGTACCACATTGTAAATTTTATTTTATTAAAAAAATAAATAACACCTAATTTAATAATTTAAACTTACGTTAGTATTTACAAAAAATCAGAAACTCTTTTAACATCCACTCGGCTACTACAATTGTTTTAATCGAATGCTTTTATTTATTTATTTTCTTAAAAATAAATTACAGTTCATTTATTTGGTGGATTTGGTTCATTTAATAAATTATAGTTCATTTAAACCCCTAAAAGATAAATTGGTGGATTTGGTTCCATTAAGTTCTAAAAATTTCGATCATTGAATATAATTTGAAATTCAAAATCCTTTCTCATATTTTGTATAAAACTTTCAATTGTGTTTTTTAGTCCAAACAATCAGATTGCCGAAAAAATTACCTTAAAACTTGAATTAAAAATTTGAAATTCAAAATCCCTTCTCATTTTAGTTGCCATAAAATTGGCTTAATTCAAAATCTCTTCCTAATATAAATGATTTTGTTCAAATTGAATTAAAAATATCTAATCACATGCTTCTATCCTTGGACGGCTAACCTTACATGAAGAATTTTGCGCCACTTTAAAATTAACAAACCTCTTGAAAATTACAAAATTATAATGAATTTCATTTTTTTAGGTTTTTTTTTTCCAACAATTTTTTAGGTTTCAATTTGCACTTTTGCACGAAATTCAAAATGGTTTAACAATTTCAAATCAACCGAAATTCATCTCTCTATTTTTTTTTCCATAAGTTTCAAAATTTTACAATAATTAAGTCTAATTACAAATGTATTGTTTCAAAATCAAGAGGATAATTTTGAAAATAGAATTTCTTTTTCTTTCAAAATTGTCTTAGTCTCCATTCAATATAAAATAAATCCCATTTTATTTGTAAAAATGATAAATCTGCATAAAACGTAGAATTTTAGGCGTACAAAATTTCGTTTTACAGTAACTAAAAAATAATAATAATTTTGAAATCTTTTGTACTCAAATTACTTAAAAGAATAATAATAATATTTACAGTAACTAAAAAATAATAATAATTTTGAAATCTTTTGCACTCAAATTACTTAAAAGAATAAAATAATAATTTTGAAATTTTTATTACTCAAATTACTAAATAATAATAATAAAAATATTGAAATCTTCTATACTCAAAATTCTTAAGTACGGTAGTATCGTCATAATTTTAAACATCATGTCAATATTTATTTTATATATACTATGTAAATTTTCTTTCAAAAACTTTATAATGTATTTATTTAGGCTATTTTAGATATATTTTTATAATATTTTATCATGTCATATTCAGAAAACATCTTCAATATAAATGTAAACTTTAATATTTTTAGATATATTTTCTTTACAAAAAAATTAAAAAAAAGTTTTAGGTGACTTCACATCTTTTGATAATAATATAGAAAAGTTTGGATAATTTTACATATGTTAATATAATATTTTAGGAGTTTTTAATTATTTAAATATACAA